TCAATTATGTAAATATCGGATAAAAAGTATCAAAGAATGTACTGATATTTCAAAATATCAATTATCCATGTCTTGTTAAACGTTTCTTGATTGGTTTAAATAAAGACAAAGAATCAATAAATTTTAAAACTTTTATAAAAAAAAGTTGTTGACAAACAAAGAAGATTCTATTTAGCCATTTTATTTAGTAAAATAATAAAAGAAAACGTAATTTATAATCCAAAATTTATTAAATAAAATAATCTAAAAAAAGTTAAATATTAGATAGGTATGTATATATTTTTGTAGGTCAATGGCTCTATAAAAGAAATATATATAAAAAATGTTAAACAAATATTACGTTAAAGATTTAATACATATTTTATATGTACATATCACAATATTTATTTAATAATTTATATACCAGAATTATGATGACAGCAGGTCTGTGTTGAGAATATTAAACGTTGCAATATATAAATTTAACTATGATCATATTAAACAAATATTGGTTAGAATAAATGCATATGAAAGAGTTAGGACCAGTTCTTCTAAGTTTTGAATTCAAAATCAGAACACTTTATAATTAGACTAGCCTATAGAATAGTCAATAGACTAGTCGATTGAATAGTCAGTCCATAGATTAGTCAACAGTCTAGTCCATTGACTATTCAATAAAGTAGTCAACAGACAAGTTTGTAGACTAGTCAAGCCTGTAAATAAATAATTAATAATGTAGACGAGTCTATAGACTAGTTTATAACTAGTCTACAAACTAGTTCATAGACTATTCAATATAGTAGTTAATAGACTAATTCATAGACCACTTCATAAACTAGTATATAGACTAGTCAATAAACTAGACAATAGGCAAGCATATAGACTAGTTTATAGACTAGTTTATACACTAGTCTATGAACTACTCTACAAACTGGTCCAAGGACTATTCAATAAAGAGTTCTATAGACTAGTCCCAAGAATAGTTAATAAACAAGTTTGTAGACTAGTCAATAGACAAGTCGATATAATAGTTAATAGACTAGTTTATAGACTAGTCTATAGTTTTGTCCATAGACTAGTCAATGGATAAGTCTATAGACTTCTATATTGACCAATCAGTAGACTAGTACTCAATAGGCTAGTCTATAGTACAATAAATAGACTTGTCAATAGACCAGTCTACTACAGACAGATAATTGCAAAGAAAGTAATTGTCATTAATAACATGTTTGTTTATATTGATCTCTATTAAAGGGCACATCAAGATTACGCACTAAATAAGCATCACTGTGTTGACATTTCAATTTCACCACGAATTACACCTCAGCTGTCAATAGCACTTGTAGTATGAAATATTTAAAGGGCTTAAAGTAACAAATTGAATAAAACTTTAGGCAGTTTCAAAATTATTACAACATATTCTATTAAAATCTAATAGTAATTGTTTATTTTAATCTCAATTTATCAACATTTAATACCCACTTCTTTGCTACTATTTTCAAATAAATAATATTCGTAAACATGACATGAGTTGATGGCGTGTGCTATGAAATAAATACTGGAACACTTTGTGTACTTTCCACAAATATTTTATTTATTTTCTTATTTGTTCTAATAAATTCAGGCCTTTGTATGAAAAAAACAGTTTATTTTCTTTTTTTTCCCTCTATTGTTTTTTTTTGTATGAAAATATAATAAACAGCTGAGTTTTTTTTAAATATTTACATAAATCTAATAGAAATCAACTTGAAAGATTTATAAATACCTATATTTTCTATTTTAAACTAAATTATAAATAAAAACTATTAGGAAAATAGTTAAAAAAACAAACAACAAGGTATTATAAATACATAGAAATGTCAACTTTTGCAACAAAACAATAATAAAACTGACATTTATTAAAGAACACAAAACTATTTGCAAAACATTGTGAAAAGAAAGCAAAAATAAGCGGTTTATGGTGGTATAAACTTACCCTAATACGTTTTAATAGAAGAAAGTAAATACAAATAAAATAAACAATAAATAATAGAGATTAAATACTAGGGTGAGTGTGTTGGGGTGAGTTTAATTGTTTTGCAGAAAAATATAAATACAATTCTTATCATTTCACCTTAGAAATTAAACCTAAAGAATGATTACTGTTTCTAGACAACAAAATGTCTGTTGAAAATTAAATACTTTAGGAAGAATCGATTAATCAAGCATTGTGTCAAAATATTGTTAAGAGAAATTTGTTGATTGATTATTTTTTTAATAAATTTTAATTTTTTTAAAAAATAAACGATTAATTTCAATTCAATTTTGTAATAAACATATCAATTTGAAATATTGTAAGAAATTCGTTTAGAATAGTCCAGATATCCTTGACAGAAGGAATATGCGGTGTAGTAGAACAACGCCATTTTAAAGATACAGATTTATATGATAAAAAGTGCTTCTATTAGACACAGTCCCTAATCTTTAATAAACAGCTATGGATCTAGTTTTGCGAGTGTAACTTTCTCTCTGTAGGAAAATT